CCGGCGGCCCAGGCGGGCTCCGGCTGCCGTTCCAGCAGAGCCTAGACAGGGGGCACTCCCCCTCCTCCTCTGGGCTGGTCTCCAGGTAGTCGGAGCCCAGAGAGCTGAAGGACTCGGACGAAATCTTCCTCCGAGACATGCTGCTGGCAGCGCTGTGGTGGCCGAGGCGGCGGCAGCGAAGCGAGCAGAGGCGGCGGCGGTAGCCGGACCCGCGAGCGGCTGCGTTAGGCGCGTCCGGGCCGCGGGGCGCTGCGGTCGCGCTCGAGTGGGCGGGAGTCCCCCGGGCCGCAGAGCCCCCTGAGCCGACTGCTCATGGCGGGAACTTGGGGAGCCGCCACACCTTGGGGCCCGGGCGCGGCGGCGGCGCCGGGCTGGGCTGGGGGCCGCTGCCGCTTCTGCTGCTGCTCGCGCGGCGCCTGCTCAGCGCCGGTGTCGGCGCATCGCCGTGCGCCTCGCTCCAGCTCGGGGAAGCTCCCTGTGTGTCCGCGGACGGGGCGGTAGGGAGGCTGCAGCCGGTGCGGTCGGAGAGAAAGAGGCTTCTGCCGCCTGCCTCCCTATCTCGCCCCTCTTCCCTTCGCTCTTCCCGCCCCTCTCCTCCCGCCTCTCTCCCCTTGCTCGCCCGCCTCCCTCCTTCTCTCTTTATCCACCCCCCCTCATGTTCTCTCTCCGCCGGTATCACGTGTCGCCATCATACTCATTGGGAGTCTCTGCCTCTCATGTCGCCACGTTTCAGGAGCAATGAGGACACTTCGTTGCCGCCCTCTGCGCGCCCTCCCCGCTCCCAACGTCCCCTTGCTCTGAGGAGGACAACACTGTGGCTCGGACTCCACCGTGAGGCCCCAACCCCAAACACCCTACTTTCCAGCCAGGAAGAGGCAGGGAGGGTGCAGACGGACCCCAACGGGCTCTGGAGGGAAGAGGGGCGCGGAGCCGGGAGCTTCCTTCTGTAGCCACCTCCGGGAAGCCTGAACACACGAAGTGGTGCTTAAGGTCCATGTTTGTCCTCTCCCTGCCTTGCTCGGAGTTCCATTATAAAGTTCCGAGGCAGAAGGGCAAGACCGAGAGGTCTAGCCGTCCGACTCCATAGGAGACGCTCCAAGGAAAGGAAAGGACAGGGCAGGGCAAGATGTTGGCGCCCATCTGCCTGGAGGAGCTGGTGGGGACAAAATGCTCAGGTCCCCTGTATTGGACGAGACCGCGTGGGCGCGGAGAGAGCTCAAGCTGGGGAACAGTGAGTGAGGATAGGGTCTGCTCGGCCGAAAGCCCTGTTGCTGAGCCTCCTCCCGGCGGGCGCGCTGGGCGCCCGACTCCCGCCGGCGGCTGACGGGTTCCGCACAAGTGCTGGACAGCTCCCCTGGCCACCTGCAGCTAGCTGTGTTTGGCAGACTCTAGGAACACTGGTCAATCTACTTCCTTAGAGATACCGCCTCGGAAACCCAAGGAGAGGTCGCTAAGAGTCGAAATCCACTCGAGGGCAGTGAGTTTGATTTTTTGGTTTAGGCGCAGGAGGAGTCTCACAGTTTGGCTGCAGACTCCACTACCTAGGACCTAGCCGTGGGGTGGCGGTGGGGGTGGAGAGGACATGGAGTTACTCTGGATCCCTGATCTGCTGGGCTCTTTGCTTCAAATATGAGATTTGTTCTCACGCGGCTGCAAATACTGCTAAACAGAGTGAAGAGGAAAAGATTTTCAAAGCCCAACTACAGAAATGCCACAGCACGAGCAAACCTTTTGCCACGAGTTTGCGCCTCAGCTGCTTCATTCCAAAGCTTGCCTCTCTTGCAAACTAGTTGTCGCTCTCAGCGTTTTGATCCACTGCACTTGCTTTAGTCCCAGAAAAGCCTAGGTCTTCTGACTTTAAGATAAGGGATGGAAAGAAGGGGTAAATAAGAGTGTCTTCAAAGAGAGGTTTAGACTAAGCTTCCCTCTGTAACAAAGCAAATGAATGTCCCCCACCTTTCCCGCTCCCAAAAAGTTCAGTGGCTCTGACTTTAACTACCCAGACACCAACGCACTTTCTAACATGCTGGTCCTTCTAAGTGAAGGTAGATGGGTTTGTGGATTAAGTTTATACAAAAAAAAAAAGAGAGAGAGAGAGAGAGAGTAAAAACAAAACGCAAAATTGCTACATTTCCTATTAACTTTTAACTCTAAATCTTCCCATTGTTGTTTGTTGTTGTTGTTAGGTGCCCTGAGTGGGCTCTGATTCACAGCGACCCTATGCACAACAGAACGAAACACTGTGGGAACCTGTGCCAGCCTCACAATCGTTTATGAGGGCTCAGATAACGAATGTTGTTTAAGGTTTCTTTTTATACTTTGAAAAGTTCACTCAAACTGATTCAGAGAAATACCTTTTTCCCAGATCTTAGATTCTTAGATGGAAAGAAAAGATATGAAACTTATGTGCTATCGCATACACACTTGCCTTCAAAACAACAACAACAAATACATTCATATATATATATATATATATATATATAACAAAAACAAAACCCACTGCCATGGAGTGGGATCCATCTCATAGCAACCCTTTCTTGGGTTTCTGAGGCCGTATCACTATGGAAGTAGATTGCCCAACATTCCTTCCAAGGAGTTTGAACCACCAGCCTTCTGGTTAGCAGTCATATGCCTTAGGCACTACACCACCAGAGCTCCCCTATATATGTGTGTGTGTGTGTGTGTACATATTTCAGCCTATTAGTTGTTGTTATGTGCCACCAAGTAGGAGCCAACTCATAGCAACCCCTCCTTGGGTTTCCGAGACAGTATCATTAGGGAAGTAGATAGCCCAACCTTCCTTCCAAGGAGTGGCTGGTGGGTTTGAACCGCCAGCCTTCCGGTTAGCAGTCAAGTGTCTGTTGACTAAATTGCTAACTGCATAGCTAGTTTCTCCTCTTAGCAGTGGATATTCAGTATAGTGGAACTCTCTTTTTAAATAAACAGGTAAATAAATAAAGAGGATATGTGGTGTGTTTGCTTTAACTTTCTCTACAATTCTGTATTCATTTGTTTCCGTGGAAATTATGCACAAATTACACTTTTTTATAATAAAGACTAACCATCAATTCTGCTAAAAATTTCACTGGCTTTTTTTTTTCTGAAATAAAAGGGATGATTTCTTTGAAAATTTCATTATTCCAACTTTGGGGAAACTGTTTACTATTCTTGCTGTGCAGTATCAATGACAGCCTAATAGGTTGGAGTTCCTAGTTCTCTTATTTAGTTGTGATAATTTAATTGCCAAGTTTTCTAGAATCAGAATTTTAGAGTTTTTATTAAGGATATTAAATAGCATATGCCTTTCACATTCTTTCAACAAACTACTGTTGAACAAAAAGAAAAAAAATATCTACTTTGGTAGTGGTTAATAGCTTTTTCATTGACCTTAGAACTGCCACTTTTTACTAATCATTCTAAGTCTTCTCGATCAAATTACTGACTTCAAGGCAATGAGTGTCATTTGTTTCTAAAATTTATAAGAGGTCCAAGCAGTCTTCCTGTTTACTCTGAAAGTTTATTGCTGTAAAGAACTCTGAACTTATGAGACATTTTTATGTGAACCATTTGAATCAAAGACACTTTACAGAATCTAGCCAGATGAAGTGGCCTTACAGTTTTCTGTATGAATTACCCTGCCTTTGATCATGATTTTCCCACTGATTTTCAAACTATAAACAAATGGTGGCCTAGATATAGACAGTACATCATCTGCACTGCTTACTAGGGTTGGCTTTGTATTTCTGTTTAGGAGGAGAGATCAAAAGCTCTCAATATTAAGAATGTTGTATACTAAACTTCAAGTGACATTTTGAAAAAAAAAAAAAGCATAACCTATTCACCATCAAAAAAAAAAAAAAAAGTAAGGGGAGGGGGAAAAAAAAAAAACCCTAGAGCTAGTAAGAAGAGTCCAAAACATTTAGGCAAAGAGAATTAGAGTTAGTAATCTACACTCTGATTTTAGGAAATTAAACCCACACAAACTCATGGCCACATATCTGGCCCGGTGAGATATATGGTATGAGATGTAAGGTCCTTAAAACACAATCTCTTGTTGGAAAAGCAAAATGCATGAATGTAATTGGTTTGTTTATAAGGTTAGTGAGGGCACCAGAGGACTCACTTCATATTATTCAGACCTCAAGAAAGACTCCCTAAGGAAGCAGATTCTCCCCCTTAGTCATGATGGTGCCTTTAAGCACAAAACAATAACTGTTTGTGTGTATGCCTTTCTTCATATAAAGCATTGCTATCTGTAAACTCCTTTCACCTACATTGCCTCATTTAATTTGATTTTTGTCCTTCCCTGAGAAGTAGAGAAAAATCGTCTCTGTCAAATTCAAATACAAACCACAATCAGTCCTTACTCCCCAAATTTTTTGTATTTCAGAACTCCAATTCTTTCCTAATTTATTTTCATCCATCTAAGTCTCCCACAAGAAAACCTAGAACATCTGCACAGTAGAGCTCTCTGTCCTCTGAAGTCTGAGGAAATCTCACTCTCTGATCAATCTTTACATACATCTGGCAACTCATAGGAATTGTCCATGTAAAATTAAAGCAAGTTCTCTGAAGAAATACAGTAGCTGGTGACTTGTTAACTAGGACAAGTTTATCTGGATTGCTAACCTAGAAAATCACACACACACACACACACACACACTCCTCTCCTGCAGATTTAATCCTATGTTCAAGTTCCCTGAATGAGATCTGCCTCCATTTCCCACTGTATCCTACTCTCCTCTTTTAAAAGAGAGAAAGTTTAATTCCTCAGTGAAAGACTGTGAGATAATAAAAGTAGGGATACTGTGCTTCATATTCGTGCATAATTTTGCAAGTAAGACTAAATACTAAGGATAATATAAATGGAGAAGAACCATCTGCTTTTTCTATCTCCAAAGGGACATATGGAAGACAGTGAAATCCTTTATCATCCTATGGTTATATTGCATTATAAAAACATCCTGAAGGAGTAGGTACTCTGCTTGAAAAGAAAAAGGAGAAGGAGAAAAGTAAAGTTTACTGTTGTGGTTAAGTGCCATTGAATTGGTTCCAATTCATAGTGCCCCAGGTACAACAAAATAAAACATTGCCAGTTCTGTACCATCCTCACAATCATTGCTATGTTTGACTCCACTG